GCTACAATCTGCTTGGCTACAATCTGCCGTCAGGGTACAGCTTGGATATGCAGATAGAGCACGTTAACGATCTGCCGGCTGGTTACAATCGTACAGCTTGGCTACAGCGCTGACGACCCTGGCGGCGGCGGCGGCGGATTCTTTTAGAGCGGAAGCGGACCCCAGCCCGCCATCGTCGGTCCTCAGCAGCGGCAACGGGGGCGTGGTGGGCGACGACGCTGCCCACCAGCTGGTGCCAGAGCCAGAAAGAACGGTCATCATCGACCTCGAGCTCGACCCTTCTTCGCCCCCCTTGATTTCATTCTCCTCGTCTCCCGTCGCCTTATTATCTCTTCCCCACATACCACACCACAGGCCAGATTCAGCGCCGACGGATCATCCGGTGCGGCGGAGTCCAGCAGCCAGGCGGGCACCCCGGTTAACGTGGACGACGCTGCCCACCACCACCATCATCATCATGTGTTCACGTCAGCATTCGGTGCGAAGAAGCAGCCTCGCTATGCTGTCGACAAAGCCCTGCAGCTGCAGGCGGCGGCTACACAAGCCTTTTTGGACGCGATCGCCAAGGAAGCTGAGCGGGCTGACGCGACGGAGCAGCGGGCCGGCGAGATGGCTCAGCTGGCAGCCACGGCGGAGCAGCGGGCCCACCTCCTGGCGAGCGACAAAGATCGTTGTCGCTCCGAGGCCCAGCGCATGGCGGATGAGCTCCAAAAGGCCGTGCACGAAGCCGAGGGCTGCGCAGGAATCCGAGCACTTCAGGTTCAACGTCCTGAACCGGGATCCTGGGGTTCCACGTCCCGGTACGCACACGCGTGGTGGTCAATGCCTGGGCCGTCGGCCGGGACCCGCGACGTGGGAGCGCGTCGAGGAGTTCGTGCCGGAGAGGTTCTTGGGATCCGCCGTCGACTTCAGGGGGCAGCACTTTGAGCTGCTGCCGTTCGGCGGCGGCAGGAGGGTGTGCCCCGGGCTCGGGTTCGCGGAGGCAAGCGCCGAGATGGCACTGGCGAGTTTGCTGTATCATTTTGACTGGGAGGCTGCCAGCGGGAACGGGAGCCGAAGCCGAAACCGGGAAGGATCGCCAACTCCGTCGTTGGACATGACCAAAGTGAACGGGTTAGTCGTGCATACCAAGTCCGGTCTGCCGCCTCTAGCTAAGCCATGGGTCCCTTAAATTGTTGTCTGTTGGTGTAATCCTGTCAACACTGTCACTGGAGGTGTGTTAGGAGGAGGTGGGAAAATTCAGTTTGAAGTGGAGAATGCCAAAGCGGGAGCAGCAGTTGCAGTGACCGCGCCCACGACTAGTCAGTTCTCTGCAACGTGTGTTTTCAGTGACTTGTATCTTTGTTTTAGCAGTTGTTTAGTTAAGTGCGTGTGTTGTAAGCTGCTGGTATAAGTAGCTGGGAGTCCCATGTGTTATGTTATCGCTTAAACTGCCAGAGAGGCGCTATGTACTGAACACTACCATCTGAGTAAAATAGCTCTGCCATCCGGCAGTCGCTGTTCGTGTTCATCATTTGTTCTTGCATTTATTGCTTAGATCCAGCCACCATACAACGTGTATTTGTGATCCTATGCTAACATTGTCATTATCACCACTAGTGCATCCTTTTTGCACCTGAATTCGCGTCATGGTGTGCGAGGCAAGCGTGTTTCTCAACTAGATCGAGCAATCTGTAGCGAGCCTTAGTCGCACCATAGTTCAACCGGGCTAGAGAAAGATTGTTTGGTCTGCATGAGGACATGTTGCATTGAGATAAAATATTAAAAAGCAAGTGTTGTTATAATGTTTATTTCATGGCAACATATCATGTGCAAACCAATCAACCTGTGCAAACCTGAAAACTACCAACCAGGATCACTAGAAACTGATCCAATGGATGGGGTGAGGGGGCTTAAGCGCAAAAAATCACACCTCTCACTCTATCCATTGGATCAGCATCTAGTGGTCCTGATCGGTAGTTTCCAAGTTTACACAGATTTGTTGATTTGCACCTGATACGTTGCCTTATTTCATGTAAGGGGCCGTTTGGATCCCTTCATTTTCGAGGAATTGAAATCCACCTACTGGATTAGGCTATTTGGCTTGGAATTTGACATTCCATAACCTTTCCAAGTTCACAAATAAGCCTATCTCAAATTCATAGGGTAGGAGATGAAAATAGATTCTATAGATCACTATACTATAATTCTACTCATCAACTTATATCACACCCTTCAACTCACTTTCCTACAATAGAAATACAATATATAAGTATGTCTCTTGTATATAGAACAATAAATATACAAATATATTCCATATACAACTATATTAGCTTAATTAATCTGTGTCTAAATTATAATTATTAGAATGAATTCAATTCTAAGCATCCAAACTGACCCTAAGTATATTTTAATACACCTTAGTTTGTCTTGTTAAACCCTGACCATCTTTTTAAAATACTAATATTACTTAATATAAGTTAATCACATATTTAATACCATCATTAGTGTGAGACCGCGCCTTCCTCTTGTGAGCCTTGCCTGCAAGAAATGACCTTTTCCATGTTTCTAATTCTCTAGAGCCTAGCTGCAGGAGGAATCTTGCAAGCCATGATCTTGACTCGGTGCCTAGACTAGGAAAGCAAACACGCGCTTTCTGCATCCCATGAGCCTGGTTTGGCTGAATACCGGCAACCAAACAGGCCTTAAATGTTCATTGCACATATTGTCGTATGTTACATATATTGTTGTATGTTATGCTTTGATGATCCGATGTTTTTTGGGCAATGCCTAAATAAACCCATGAGGTAAGTCACCCCCTGGACCCATATCCCACCCATACATGACGGCATCGTTGCCCATGTGAGAACTAGACACCGTTGCCCATATGAGAACCTAGATCTCCCACGGGGAGTCAAACCTAGAACTTGAGGAGTGGTACTAGAACCACCTAACCAACTCGGCTAGGCACCAATTTGCCAGTGCCTAAATAGTTTTTCATTAAGAGGAAGAGAAAGTTAATCTTGGGGCGTCCTCAAATGTAAAAGACAGCAGCTAGCTGATACATGCCATGTCATTGCCACTTCATTATGTGAGCCCCACATGTAAATAATTTTTTATTCTACATCTTCTCTCCTTCCTCTCATTATTTATGAGCAGACCCACAAACTATCTCATTTTCTGAGCGAGATAGGTGTTGAGATAAGAGATAGTCTCTTCACTTTTTCATTTTCTCTCTCTTCCATACCAGAAAAATGTTGACATGAATTCCTATGAGCTAGACATCTAGTTGAAGTGGCACGGTTGGGGGACGCTCTTAGTAAGCTTAGGCTTACCAAAATCAACTCTTTGTAAGACTAGTCTTACGAGAACCATTCACAAAGTTCAAGAATAAGCAGCCTGTTCGCTTACTCGTAAACGATCGTAAATTTCCAGCCAGAAACAGTGTTTTTCTTTCACACCAAACCAGCCAGCAGTAAATAATCCACGATACGATACGGCCTCCCGAACAGGCTGAAGGTCCCGATTGCAAGGATTCCTCCCGGCTACGGTACTGTAGTGGTAATGTAGCAGAGCTTCAGATATGCAACTCTCGTGGCTTCTCCATTTTGTAGTTATTTTTAGCCGAAGCCATAGCCATTTCTCCTAGTGCTGCAATGGCCTAAATTGTGCTACAGTGCCTTCTGGACCAGAGCCACCGGAAGTGGCACCGAACAGAGCTCTAAGAAATTATATACTACACAAAGGTAGTATAATAATTAGAGTTTCAATATCCATTTTTATTAGGGGTTGATTCATCCATATCGATTAGAGGTCTCAGCTTATGTACTAATTCTGGTTGTAGCAGGTAAATTAATTAGGGTCGCAACTTGTATACTGATTAGTGTCATAACATGTATACTGAATAGGGTCAACATCTATTTTGATTAGGGACCTATGTATCCATATCGACTAGCGACCATAACTTGTACACTAATTAGCTAGGGCCGTGGCATGTATACTGATAAGGGTTACAGATTGTGTATTGATCAGGGTCACCACAGGTATACTGATTAGGGCTGCAACAGATATAGCGATTAGGGTTGCAGCTTGTGTACTGATTAAGGCCACAAAAGACGTATGATAACGGCCGCAACAAGTATACTGATTAGGGCCGCAGCAGGTATACTAATTAGGTTCACTGCTAGTATTGTTAAGTGGTTGTTAGTATTTAAGTATCTTTAAGTAGTTGCAGACACTATGATCAATAGTTGCTAGTATCTTTAAATCGTTGTTAGTATTTTTTTTCTAGTTGTTGTCATTATTTTTCTTAAAGTATAATTTATTAGTGCAATGACTATAGTAGTTGTTAGTATGTTTAAGTAGTTTTTTTTTTATCGGGTATAATTTGAACGTACACACCCATACATCCCACACTCACGCTCCCCACACTCACACTCACACTCACACCACACGCGCGCGTGTCGAGCACCACATTCTGCTCAACTTATCGGCCTTTCATCAGCCTGTCGAGCACCACATTCTGCCCATTTTCCGTCAGCCTCCGACCACGGTTGATGAAGGGGTATGACGGATGCTGTTGGCAAGATGAAGATGCAAGGTTGTGCCCGAGGCACTGTTAACTTCCTTTCCTTTGTTTTTGTTTTGATTTTGACGAGACTAACAGCTAGGCTTCCATTAGTACAGACACGTACTCTTGCCATACAGTAGCAATTTGCGTTCCTTCTCCGTGCGTCCGACTGCGCGGGGCCGGTCGAAGAAACACTTCTCCGGTGTACTAGCTAATTGGACTCGGACTCAAACCGTGTATATGTAGATGGAAGAGACCCCAAACCGTGTTAGATGAAGCAATTCTATTTCTTTCAAGTTCAAAAAAAAATCCTATTTCTTGTCAGGGACTCTATAATCTTTTCCAATCCCATCCATAGATAGAGGTCAAAATCAGATCGATTCAAAAAAAATAAAATCATATTCGAACTAGCTTCTGTTCCGGCGCCCTTCTGATCTCTTGGCAGGCAGCGATGGTGTTGCAGCGGATATTGAACAAGTTCCTAGAAAGGGTGCGATTTCAGTTATCGCCCCCGCATCGCGGGCTGATGGTCCGCTCCGCTATCCTCTGGGGGCTCGGCGACGTCGGCGCCCAGGCCGTCACCCACTACTCCGCCCAGGTACTCCGATCCGCCCCCGCCGCCGCCCCCAAACACTTCTTCTTTTCCCCCGGGTAGTTCATGTTCCTGCTGTACGGGTTGCGCGTCTCCACTCAGCCAGGATGTTTGTCTTACTCTACTTCCATATTCTCCCGGTATTTTCGGTTCCTCTGAGGTACTGGGAGAGAGTAATGGATTAGTAAAAAGTAGTTTTTTTTTGGGTGGGGGTGTTGGAATCATGGAATGTGATAGGCTTTCGTCTGAAACCTAATCTTTTGATGCGTCTATAGGCTTCAATGGTACTAGTAAGAGTATCTGGTAATCCCAATTGAAGAGAAGAAAAAAAATGATGAATTGATAATCCTCTTCGGGGCAATGCACGAGCTAAGGGGTTTGATTATTTATTGGTCAGAAGTCAGAACTCTAATTCAGAGTTCTGATGATGGTCCTTAGGATCGTTTTCTCTTGCTTCTGGAACCGTTATTACTATCTTCATTCTTCAATGTCTCTTTTATCTATTCAGCGAAACTCTGTTGCATTTCAGGATAAAGACGAGAGTCCATTTCTTTCGGGAAAAAAGACGAGGAGTTCAAAATCGATTGGTATAGAGTGTACAACACAAGTTTCTTTGGACTTAGTGCTTGTATTGGACCAGCTGCATATTGCCGGTTAGTTTCCTTGTATCTGAGGGTGTTATGTTTACTTTTGTTATTGTTTAGTAACCGAAAGTAATAATAAAGGTGAACGGTCAAGTGATAGGTGTATTTTGTAGACCCCATCCCACACTGATGTTCTCCATTTTAGCTAACCATTTTAGAAAATATAGGAGACATCTAAAGAGCATGTGTTTTGTTTGGATAGTGATGATACTTTCTAGCTCTCACAGGCCTTGCTGAGATTTGGGTGTTTACTATGGTTTTTTGTTACTCGTGGAATTGGGAGAGACAATGCAAACATTTGTAGTGACAGATTTGTTGCCACCATGTAGTGTCACCTAATCTTGCGTAGTCAAGCAACTGAGTTGAGTGCATATAAGGGGCAACCATGGAGTTTAGGACGTATCAGTTGAAGTAGATTGGGGCCTTGGGCTGTACTTTGCAGTAGTAACATCCTTTTCCGTTCATCTGTGTTTTACCCAGTTGGCCAGCATTATCAACCATCGATTTGATGCCCACATAATTTGTTGCATATGTATGTTTCCTGGCCTTAATTAGATGTGCGGTAAGTAAATGCTATGCTCCGGAGAGTATTTAGTAGCTGACCACCTTACTATATGTAAGAGTTACAGAGATTTCCATACTTATTAGACACAATATATTTTTATTATAATACAATAGTAGATGTTGTTCCTGCTCGATCACCTTGGTGACTTGATGTATTTGTTTTGCAATAATGACTGGTGATTTTGACTTGGTGTATCTGATTTGTAATAATGATGACCGGTGATTCCACAATTTTCTCACTCACCTACTGAACTCTATTCTAGATGCAGTGATTTGCTGTTGAAATCGAGTCTCGATCTCTTGATTTTAGGACTAGCTAGGAAATTCCTGTGTGTATTCTGTTCTCGTCACTAATAACAATAAGGGCTTGGTGTTATTGTAGGTTTAGTAAGAGCCTGCCGAGCTCCATTACTACAGCTGAGGTTGTTAGCTCAACACCTGTTGATATTCTCTTCGGAACTCTAAATCTTGCCCCATTTTTCCCGCTCATGTCTTTCGTGCAAGGAAAGACTAAGAGTGTGGAGAAGGCAAAGGAGGACGTGAAGAGGGGTTTCACCCCTGCTCTAGTGCTGGGCGGAGCTGTGCTGCCAGCCGTGCTGTTCACAAACTGGCGCTTCGTCCCCGCGCCATACCAGCTTCACTGTGCCAGCTTGCTCGCCCTGGTAGGCAGCTGATCCCTCTCATGGATTGAGCTTGAGCAGCACAAGGATGACGCAGAGGGTCCGGAAGATGGAAGGAGTAATAAGGTTTGTTCTGACGACTGCTTTTGAGCTAGTAGTCATCTTGTAGTATGTTCGTATGGATCAACGTCTGTAAGATCTGGTTCATCCAGGAAGAAAACGGGTGACAAAAGACAGTCTTATTTGCAGCAACTGTTTAGGGATTTGGGCCTTGTTTAGTTTCTAATTTTTTTTGCCTTTGGGTTGGCAGGTGTAAAATATAACTGAGCATCGATCTTTTAGTCGTTGTAAAGAATCGACCTTAATTAGTATCATTAGATTAGTCTCGAATTTCCTGATGGGTTCTATAATTTGTTTTTTTATTAGTATCCAAAAACCCTCCCAACATCATTCCGACACATCCGATGATTGAAAATGTACCTCCAACTACACACCCTAACTGAGCATCGATCAGGTTGTAAATATGATGATGAATTTTGATGTGTGCGATTGAGTGTGGTTGTGTGAAAATTTTATGTCTTTGTGGTTGTGTGAAAATTGAGTCCATCATCATTCTCTTCTCTCTCTGGTTGTGGCACTAGTCATTTATTTAATTTCAATTCGTGTCTTCAGAGTTCAGAACTTCAGATTGATTGATTGACTGATTGATGCACATGTCTGGAAATGGGTGACGAATTGACGATCGAGAACGCTTGCAATGCCATTATTGCAGCAAAAGCTGAATATCGACGATGCCCGTCTTGTTGCAGTCCAGGAATAACAAGCTGGGTTGGGCACGCATGCATGCAACAAGGGATGAGTGAATAATGTCTGAATGGCCATCATGGACGGCGCACAGGCGCCGACGGAGCCGGGAAACGAGCTCCACCACCCGCCTCCCCTCTCCCTATCCTCTCGATCTACATAATATATAAATGGCGGCCCCTCGCCGAGAGCTCACGAACGAACGACAATCCTCTCTCCGTCCCCAAGCAAAAAGCTAGACGTAGAACAAATAGAAGAATGACGCAGCAGGCCAACCAGTCGACAATGGTGGCGCTGGTCGCCGGCGTGGCCGTGGCGGCCGTCCTCGCCGGCGTGGCGTCCGCGGAGAAGGCGGGCGGCTTCGTGGTGACGGGTCGCGTGTACTGCGACCCCTGCCGCGCCGGGTTCGAGACCAACGTGTCCAAGAGCGTGGCGGGCGCGACGGTGGAGGTGGTGTGCCGGCACTTCGAGGCGAACAAGGAGACGCTCAAGGCGGAGGCGACGACGGACGACTTCGGGTGGTACAAGCTGGAGATCGACCAGGACCACCAGGAGGAGATCTGCGAGGTGGTCCTGAAGAAGAGCCCCGACCCGGCGTGCGCGGAGATCGAGGAGCTCCGCGACCGCGCCCGCGTCCCGCTCACCTCCAACAACGGCATCAAGCAGAAGGGCATCCGCTACGCCAATCCCATCGCCTTCTTCCGCAAGGACCCGCTCAAGGAGTGCGGCGCAATCCTCCAGAAGTACGACCTCAAGGACGCATCTGACACGCCATGATATGATTCAGCGTCCACCGTCGACGATGTCGTCAATCCGTCCATCCATTACTCAACTAACTGTCATAAATGCATGCATGGTAGTATTTCCCGCGCCCGGCCGGCCGTTCGCCGGCGCCGGAGAAGATGGTAGCAGCTAGCCACCAAGTGTCTGTCGTCTACGGCTTCCGCATTTCTGTATTGTGATTCGAAGGCAGCGACAATGGGCCTCGTCAGCGCACGTACGATCCGTTTCTTTTGTTGGGCCTAAATCATCTGCATGCATGCAGATATACTGCTACTGCTGCTCTTTTATTATTTTTATTATTAATAACTTCATGTCTTCTCACCCATTGAGGTCCTGTATGTCTTCTAGTCAATCAAAACAGTTAACAGAGAAAGACAAGAGGTGTGTGCCTCAATTCTTTGTGTGTGTGGGCGCGTGGCTCAGCAACAAACATAGAAAAAGGAAAATGCATGTTGATCTGACTTGTTTGCACATTATAGCTTCAAGATGATAAGTCGACAAATATGTACCAGTAGCAATATCAGACCTAAATGACATAGTATGACTGCACATGGGCTAGGTTTGTATGGACCAGGCCCAGGCCCAGGCACCTAGGAGAAAAATAATATAATTAAGAAAAAAATAATTATTTGGCTAGGCTGCTTTGACATCCATGCTATTTTTAGAAAGAGGAATATTGGAGTATATAGTGTAAGCCAAACCTATACACTTTTGACCGACTTATATGTTTTTGGTAAGTGTATTGTCATATTTACTTTCGTGAAGAATTTGATGAGGAAACTAATTTGATGCTAGCTATGGATACACACGGTGTTGTGGAATTTTCGATTAATCTGGTGTCAAGGTGAGCAAACTTGACTTAGAACAAGTGACCTAGCTACATTTTGAAACAACGGTAATGCCGGGGTCAGGGTGTCCGGACGGTCGGACGCGGCTTTCCAGAAAATTCCCCAGTTGCTACCGCGTCGCCCGCTCGTTCAACCGTGCCGTCCGCTCGCTCCACTGCGCCGCCCGCCTTCCCTACTCTACTTCCACAATGTGCCGCCCACCTTCCCCACTCTGCTCCACTGTGCTACCCGCTCAGCCGCGGCCGATCCACCACTCCACCAAGCCGGCGAGCCTCCATGACGGATACTCCAGCAAGCAGGCAACGGGCGGAGCTTCGTGTGACACCGCCCCGCATGATGAGTTTCCCGCGCCACTGCCTCATCGGCGAGCTCCACGCGTCGGCGTCGAGCTCCGCAACGATGAGCCTCCATTCGTCCAAGCAACAAGGTGATATTGCGCTCAAAGCGCATGTTGCAAGCGTATGTTTCAAGTGTTTTATATCGATGTTGCAAACGTAGATCGGGATGTTGCATATGTTGCAATGACTACACGCATGTTTCAAGTGTATGTTATAAATGTTTCATCTGTTTCAGACGTATGTTGCAAATGTTTAGATCTGGATGTTGAAAAAGTAGATCTAGATGTTGCATATACATGCATGTTGCAAGCGTATGTTTCAAGTGTCAGGTGTTTCATACGTATGTTGCAAGTGTCTCATCTGAATGTTGCATATGTTTTGCAATGTCTACACACATGTTTTCAAGTTTTTTCTAGTGTTTTGCAAGTGTTTCAGATATATGTTGTAAGTGTTTCAGTTGTTTTCAAACGTGTGTTACAAGTGTTTTATCTGGACGTTGCAAAGTAGATCTGTTGTTGCACATGTTGCAATGGGACTCACTTGCCGCAAGCTAGCCATGTGTGAGTATACACATATATGTATAGCAAAACTTGCAAAGTATCATTATTTTTTCTATCTAAATTAAACAGGATCGGAATCATTTGGGTCGGCATAAGGCGCAGTTGGCCCTGCACTCTTCTCTGGTTAAGTGGCAATACTCTCTGCGGCCATTGTGGGGGCAACAATAGCAGATACTCCAATTGGGATCAAAGTAATCGCACTGCCCCTTGGGGCAACCACTGAAGGTGAGCTTTCTTTCGTCTAATGAGGTGGTGGAGTTGATAGTCGTAGTAGTAGCAATATTAGAACTACTACTACTACTAGCATCCACCAGGTGTCGACCTGCGAATGATATCATTTGCCTCGTATTTCATCAGGAAAACAAACAAGCAAAGGAATATATATATATATATATATATATATATATATATATATATATATATATATATATATATATATATATATATATATATATATATATACACACTGTTGTGCTATATTGCACATGGGTGCATTCTATACACAGAATGCACCCAGGCCAACCGGCGTGCCTTGTCTGGGCAACCGGCCCAACTAACCCACTAATCAGGCGTGGGCCACACACCTCTATCCTCTCCCACGCCAACACCGTCCCATCACGCAATGAGGCGCATGTGCAATGGCGTCTTGCGAAACGAAGTTACAATTTGTGTAACGATGAAAGTTGCAATCGGTTGAAGTGATGAGTTGCAATTTGTGTACGATTGAAGATGCAATCGGCGGAAAATTGAGTTGGAACTTGTATACAAACAAGTCAACAACCAGGTATGTCGAGGCGGTTCAATCGGCCGACCCAACCGAATGCAATTCGGCCTACCACCAAGGTTGCAATTTGTGTAATGACGGAAGTTGCAATTGGTTGAAGGATGAGTTGCAATTTGTGTCACGACTAAAGATGCAATCGGTGACAGACGTGAGTTGGGCTCCCGGTATACAAACGGAGCTACAACTAGCCGTCTAGAGGCGGGCATTGGCATGCCTACCACCAAGGTTGCAATTTATGTAATTTATGACGGAAGTTACAATCGATTGAAGGATGAGAGTGCAAGCAATCGAGGGCATTGCCGGGGGCAGATATATCATATAGCGCGCTGGGTCTCGGGAGATATCTTAGGCGCCGCAGTTAACGGGTCGGACTCAGCGCGGTGATGACTTGTGCTTCGCCAAGCGCTAATGCTATTTAGTGCCTCGTGCTTATCATGGGTCGGGTGCATTGCTATCTGAAATTATTTATATATACACACACGTCATCGCTTACATAGTCGGCATTGAGATAAGTTATTCTGTGGCCACTTTGAGTTACGATAATTACTATACTAATTTACGAGATTATGGTAACTCCCTCATAAGTGATTTACTATAGCATTATGATAAATATCATCTTGAATTATAGTAACTCGTGTATCGTAAATATGTATTGTCATTATCGTAAATTGGTACAAACATTATCGTAAATCAAGGTGGCTATAGAATAAGTTATTCTATGACGAGCTGTAGAATAGCCTTACCCTATATATATATACACACACACGGTAAGGCTGTTCTACAGCTGGCCACAAAATAACTTATTCTATGACCACCTTGATTTACGATAATGTTTGTACTAATTTACGATAATATGAATATGCATTTACGATACTCATGTTAATACAACTCACGGTGATATTTACTATAATATTATAGTAAATTACTTAGTGAGGAGTTACTGTAGTCTCGTAAATTAGCATAGCAACTATCGTAACTCAAAGTGGCCACATAATAAGTTATTTTATGACCAACTGTAGAACAGCGTGTATATATATATATATATATATATATATATATATATATATATATATATATACACGCGCGCGCGCACACGCTTACACTCTGTAGGCCCAAAAAGCATAGCGAATAATAAGAGCATGGCATGTTTAATTTGATCAAAAGCTAAGCAATACATGCATATATCATCGATCCTGCATCCACATATATACTGAGAGAGAGCAAGCGGCGCTGAAGTAGAGAACCAGCTGTGCCAGGCGAGCAGTGTGAACATTATGGAGAGTGATTATTGCCTGCAATACTGCGCGTTATGGACTTCCATGCATATGGTTAAATTAAGGTTAATTAACTAGTTCGATTTCCCAGAGTATTGCCATGTTCGGCTGATAAGTCATGGCTGAAAGTACTGTTCGCTGATTTGTTGTGAGAGAAAAATACTATTCGTTGTTTGAAAAAGTACGACTTATAAGCCAAGCGAACAGGACGTATGTTTCCTTGTGTGGCGGCAATTTCTAAAAAGTAAAGTTGCCGCACGTTATTAATAGTTTTTGCATGTTTTGTTTCCAGCTACTAAATGAGAGATCGAGGGAGAGATTAATCCACGTTAAGCCCTCCCCTCTACTTTTTTTCGCTTCATCGTCTCAACGGTCTATCGCACCCAGGCCTCTAGCTTGTCCTTTACGCTCGCAACTCGGTTCTTTCATGGTCAAGCCTCACCCTTTGATCTTCTCCACCTAGCAGCCACATGAGATTATGTCATGTCTTATATGCAATGAGCTCCTTCAATCTTCACTAGATGAGCACTTTGCATCATGCACAAAGCTATTTCTCCATCATACCTCTATGTCTTGCTCAACCTAGTGTATCATTGGACCAAGAACTTTATTAATCTCACATGAAACACATTCGTCCACGTAACTTTGTTACTTAATTACCAAAACCAGATTTGGACATTCAAGTCAACAACGGGCCCAAGGCCTATGGACAATGCCCCTTTTCTCCAGTCCTCCCACGCCACAGCCTCAGGAGAAAGCACCCAACACTTGAACAATTTTCCACGTGCCAAACAGGGCCTGCGGCCAGACCACCTATCGGGGTTATAACCCCGGGGTATCTCAAGGCATCGATTAGTTAGTAGGCCGAGCGGCCCACGATACATTAGCCGACAAGGGCCCAAACGACCGAGGCCCAGCTGATCAAAGAAGACCAGACCAAGCGCTAAGGCGGGGGGTGGCCACGATCCCTTCATCAAACTTAGCCACACAGTGCACAAGAAGACGCAGACAGACACGCCCGTTCTGACAAGGGTAGGTACGCCACTCTCACCCTGCAAGGACCGAGGGGACAACGGTCACCTTGATCTGATCAGATGCCATCCCTGCACCACGCAGCTCAGACAAGACAACACCGCATGGCAGTGACAATCGGTACGATAACCACCGGCCAGACATGGCCCGATAAGACG